TTTGAACTGGGGATTGAACTCAGGCCCTTGCGTTTGCCAGGCAAGCACTTATTCTACTGAGCTACCTCCTCGGCCCCGATATATATGTTAAATAAAATTATAACTATAAAGCCACATGTGGTGGTGGCACATGTCTGTAATCCTTGCACTCCATGAAGCCGAGGCAGGAAGACTAGAAATTGAAGCCCAGCTAGGGTTAATTTAGTGACTTAGCAAAATTATCTAAAAAAAAAAAAAAAAAAAATTAAACAGGGCTGGGGATGCAGCTCAGTGTGAAGCCCCTGGATTAAATCCCTACTACCATGCACACAAAAAACATGACTAAACATGATCATATAATTTACAAATTACAGCCAAGTGGAGTTAATAGACTCAAAAGGAGGGATGTGGAAGGGTGGAAAGGTGACTAATTTTGGGGTGACAAGCACTTTTTTATAACATTTTTTTTTTAATTTTTTATTTTTATTTGTGTGTGTGTGTGTGCGCGTGTGTGTGGCCAGCTCAGCCCACCTGGGGGCGGGGCTGGCTGGCATGTGGTGCTGGGGGATTGAACCACGGTCCCTGTGCTTTGCTAAGCTTGTTCTAAGTAGGTGCTTTAGACCACTGAGCCATCTCACCAGCCCGACAAGCACTTTTTAAAAAAATATTTATTTGTGTGTGTGTGGCCAGCTCAGCCCACCAGGGGGCGGGTCTGGCTGGCATGTGGTGCTGGGGATTGAACCCGGTTCCCTGTTCTTTGCTAAGCTTGTTCTAAGTAGGTGCTTTAGACCACTGAGCCATTTCACCAGCCCGACAAGCACTTTTTGCAGTGTTATCACAAAACAAAATTTCAGAGTAAATCTGGTCCTCACGGAACAGATCAGGCAGCCACAGAGCAAGGCTGTGGTCATCATTTTTTCCTATACTTTCCTAGGTGGTGCTTTTTCTTTTTTCAGTGCTGAGGACTGAACCAGTAAGTTTCCTGTAGTCAGGATGAAACCTACACAGAACAACGCACCAGATCTTGCCTATTCCTACCTCCAGAAATAACCAGTGTTCATGTATTTCTGTCTCTGTGTAGGCTTCTTCCCATGGATACCTGTGTCTGTGCACATGTTGCGGTTTGTTATATAACCCCGTTTGAGACTGTCCCATTAGTTCTGTAACCAACTCTAGTGTGTGAGTTTCCACCTATGCTACTAAAAATATCTTTAAGATCACCAATAGGAGTAGGTGGAAAATACTCGCATAGATGGAGCATCACTTACCTAGCTGTTTTTGTCTGTTGAAATTCTGCAATGGGGGGCTGGGAAAAATAGTTCAGTAGAATAAATCCTTGCCTGGCAAGCGCAAGGCCCTGAGTTCAAACCCCAGTACCATTAAAAAAAAAAAAAATACTGCAATGACAGGGTAGGCTCTTGGTACACTATGCAAACTGAGGATGAGTGAGCTGTCCTCATGCTGATGCCATCACCAAATCCAGGTTGTTTTTAATTGGTTTAAAATATTTCAGGGATGGGGCTGGCGAAATGGCTCAGTGGAATAAGCGCTTCCCTGGCAAGCGCAAGGGCCTAAGTTCAATCCCCGGTTCCGCAAAAA